TATATATATATATATATATATATATATATATATATATATATATATATATATATATATATATCCACATATATATATATCCACACATTACAGCCATACACCAGTTTCAGGAATCAGTTGATTGAGAGTTGAGAGGCGGGACCAAAGAGCCGAAGCTCAACCTCCGCAAGCACAACTAGACGAGTACCCAGCCAACCACTCATCACCTCTGTAACTCTGGTTATGGCTCTCGTGTCACCTTAAGTGGAAAAAATATTTGTTTACTGTTAATTGAATGGTGTTTGTGCGCGCCATTGTCTTCCCCCGACCGTTTGTTGCACGTAAAGGTCAAAGTCTCCCTAATTTTAGGTAGACTGTAGACATATTACACTGCCAATCCAGCTCCTCTAAGCCTGGGCCCGGGTTCGTGGCCCTGTGGTGGTGATGGTATATAAGCGCTTATACTGTAGTATATACTGTAGTATAAGTGACATCCTACACATTACGGCTATAGAGAACTGTGAAGGGGTCGGGATAAGCTCCACGCATCATTACCAGACTCAGGGCAGAGATAAGGTTACAATTCACCTTATCATGGCGCAGTTTAGTGGTGTGCGACCATGTCCCCCCCCCCCCCCCCCCCCCCCCCCCCCCCCCCCTCCCCCCCCCAGGAAACGACTCTTCTGGTCGTCCTTCTGAAATTGTTGAGGTCAGGACGACACGGTAATCTGGTGGCGAGAGCAAGGACAGTGGCTGAAGATAACAGGAACAGTGAACCAGAGGATAACATCACTCATAATGACCCAACTTGGCAACTTGTAGGAAACAAACGAAGAACTACCGAAGAAATGCCCCAAGAAATCAACTTAGGTGGATTAGGAATCAACCTCAACTCTGGACAACCGGCCAGAAGCCAAGAGCAGCCCCCAAACCAACGCCAAGGACCATCTTCAGAATCACAAAACAGGTAGATGGTCCCACTTATGCTTCCATTGCCGCACGGGAAAAGGATCATCCAGGATCAGATCTTAGAGCCAAACCTGCCATTAGAGGCAGATGTAACATGTCCACAGCTAACCCAGATATAGTTACAAACCTGAGGAATACGGAAGACCTAGTTGAACTAGGACTTGGGTAAATACTGGTTCAGTAACAGGGTTGTTGATTTGTGGAACCAATTACCGCGTAACGTGCTGGGGGTGGGGTCCCTCGATTGTTTCAAGTGCGGGTTGGACAAGTATATGAGTGGGATAGGGTGGTTATTAATAGGAGCTGCCTCGTATGGGCCAATAGGCCTTCTGCAGTTGCCTTTGTTCTTATGTTCTTAACTTTGACCAGCGGGAAAAGGTAACAAGATGATAGTGCAACATTTTCCGGTTGAAGTCAATGCAAACAGGCTCTTAGAATGCCCCAAATGTCACAACGGCGGACAGATGTAACCACAACAATGTAGAAACAAGACGGGTGCTTATGACAATTAAAGGACTTTGCATCAACACTCTGAATGTTGGGATCTATGGACAATTCAATCAAAAGTTGTACAAACCAGAGCCCATGCGTTGTTACAGACGCTTTGGCCACTATAAAGATGGCTGCAGAGGCCCGGAGCCATGTGGAGTATGCAGCGAGCTCCACAACACCGACAGAGGTAAGGATGGCTGCAGAGGCCCGGAGCCATGTGGAGTATGCAGCGAGCTGCACAACACCGACAGAGGTAAGGATGGCTGCAGAGGCCCGGAGCCATGTGGAGTATGCAGCGAGCTCCACAACACCGACAGAGGTAAGGATGGCTGCAGAGGCCCGGAGCCATGTGGAGTATGCAGCGAGCTCCACAACACCGACAGAGGTAAGGATGGCTGCAGAGGCCCGGAGCCATGTGGAGTATGCAGCGAGCTCCACAACACCGACAGAGGTAAGGATGGCTGCAGAGGCCCGGAGCCATGTGGAGTATGCAGCGAGCTCCACAACACCGACAGAGGTAAGGATGGCTGCAGAGGCCCGGAGCCATGTGGAGTATGCAGCGAGCTCCACAACACCGACAGAGGTAAGGATGGCTGCAGAGGCCCGGAGCCATGTGGAGTATGCAGCGAGCTCCACAACACCGACAGAGGTAAGGATGGCTGCAGAGGCCCGGAGCCATGTGGAGTATGCAGCGAGCTCCACAACACCGACATAGCTAAGAATCTGCATAAAGAAGGCAAACCAACAAAAGCAAAATGTCCAAACGCCTGGAACAAAATGTCGCCTGGAACAATCCATGTCCAGAAAGGGTAAAAAGAATAGAAGCTTTCAGATCTACCCAGCAACCCACCCTGGAAACACAAATCGTAACTGTCTCCATTTTCCACTTGTTACAACTTGTAATAAAGTTGTTACATCTTGGCTTAACGTGTTTATGACGTATTAGAACGTTGTTACAACTTGCTATATTGGTTGTTATAACTCGTTAGGAGGTGTTAAAACTTGTTCGAACGTTGTACCAACGTCGTAGTTTCGGTGTGTGTTTGGCGGGCAGAGCCACAAC